CTTGAAAATGAGGCCTTTTTGTGATCTTGGCTTTACTACAAGCCTCACACTTTTTAAAATTCTTTTTAACCATTGGGATTAATCCTAAACTACTCATGATTCCAGCATAACGATCATTAATATGACACAAACGAGCATGCCAAAAATTAGTAGAAGAAAGCATATAAACAGAAGTAGAAGTTTTATTCATTTCAACATTCAACTTAAACATCCCATCACATGCATACCCCTTCCCCACAAAAATACCTTTCTTCACTATTACAGATTGATCAGATTCAATAATTTGTTTAAACCCTGCTTTATTAAGAAGAAAACTAGACATCAAATTTTTTCTCATAGAAGGAGTATAAAGTACATCTTTCAATGTTAGTATCCTTCCAGAAGTAAAACACAATTCAACATCTCCCTTTCCAAGCACTTGAGTAGTGTGAGCATCACCAAGCATGATTGTTTTGGGCTCCTCAAAATGAGTATATTTTTTAAACCAGTCTTTGTCATAACAGACATGGCGGTTTGCACCAGAATCAGCCCACCATACATCAACATTCTCAACCATGTTTATGTCGGTAATCACCGCCACAAAAGGTTCTTTGGTAACATTTGCCTAAGGGTTCAGATCACGTTTCCGAAATCTGCAAAATCGAGCAATATGCCCACTCTTGGCATAAACAAAGCAATGTCCCTTTTCTTGAACTTGTTAATTTTGTGCTTGGTGATTTTCACCATTATTTTTCATTGGAGGTCTACCATTATTTTCTTAAATTTTTTCTTATTAGGCTTTAAAGAAGTATTTTTGTGAGTTTCAGGAGTAGCATTATTCGAAGTAATTAAATTTACCTTTGATGTGATGTTGTTCTCTTCTGTTTGTAAAAGTGCATCTTTGCCTCTTGCTTCTTCTTCCATGCGGATTTTCATTATCAAGGTTTCAAGAGAGGTTTCCTTTTGTTTGTGGCACATAGTTTATTGAAATTCCTTCCAAGAAGGTGGAAGTTTATCCACTATGCCACAAACAATAAGGTTATCTCCAATTTAAACCTCTTCGGACCTAAGCTCTCCAACAATCTTGATGAAGTGAGCTTGATCTACCACTGATTTGTTGTTCACCATTTGGAAACGAAAAAATCTCCTAGCTGCATATTTTTTCGCTCCAGCCTCTTCCGTATCATACTTACTCTGCAATGCCTTCCAAATTTTCTTTGCACTAGAGTAAGTTCTATCATAATAATCATAAAAATTATCAGATAGACAATTAAGAAGATATTACCGATACTTACAGGAATCACCATCGTACTTTTCCACCTTTTCTAGATGAGAAATAGTTTCATCATCATAGTGGTGATGTCTTCTTTATTTGGATTCTTCTCGGTTAAAACGTAAGAAACATTGAGAAGACTTAAGTAGAAAAATACTTTACTCTTCCATCTTTTGAAATGGTTACCATTGAACCGAAATGGCTTGTTAAGATGTCCCATCTTGACATCCACGGTTTTTCAATTGTAGCCATCTTTGAATCTCCTTAAAATTGTTAGTGAAAAAACTTACAAGATAATAAAATTGCAAGACTAGAATTGAAAATAAAATGAAGAAAGTAATCTCTTCAGGCTGAGGCGCGGATATCTCGCTCTCTTTAGGGAGATTCAAGCCCACTGCAGCAAATGTTTTCACCGGTCCAGCAGCAGTCCTCTTTGACTTGACCCCTCCAGGATACAACAGCCTTCACAAAGTAAAAACTCAACAACTCTGGACAAGAGTTGAGTCCAAAGCTCCACAAAAAAGAACACCTCCCTTCAACTAATAAGAACTCTCTTTTAGACTAACTCTTTCACTTTTTGTTTTCTCTTGTGTTTTGTGTGTTCCAAACCAAATGAAGACCACCATCATTTATACTACAACAAGTCTTCCTAGCAATAAATAGAAAGATAATGGAGGTAGTAAATAGTGAAGATAATGGCCTTAGGAGTTACATAGGTTACATATGTTACAATAGGAGTTACATAGGTTACAATAGGAGTTACATAGGTTACATATGTTACAATAGGAGTTACATATGTTACAATAGGAGTTACATAGGTTACATATGTTACAATAGGAGTTACATATGTTACATAGGTTACATAGAGTAATGGGGGTATTAAGAATGAAATAAAGTGATGGACAACCAATGCTAATGGATAATGTAGAAGTCATCCATTCCAATGTTCATTCTTATAACTCCAAAATAAAGCAATTTAATATGATAAATATTAATATTAAAATGCTAATAATCTAACAGTAACACAACAAATACAGTTGTATGTATCAACAGGAAATCCTCATGAGTTACCTTCTCATTCTTTAAATGTCAAAAAAAATATTGGCAACATGACAATATTCAACTCTGTTAGGCGCCGCCATATTGAAGCGAGTCTTGGTATTTTGAACCATAGAAATGCATTGACATAGTACATATTAATAAGGGGAGAGAACGATTTGGAGTGTAGCTGATAGGAAGATTAATAGATAAGGAGAGCTGTTTGAGGTAGCAAATGATCAAATCCAAGAAAATGTGTTCAATAATTGAAGGATACCAAAGCACATATACAAGCCTAAGAGGAAGTTGCACATAAAATAGTTTTTTGCCTCTTTGGTATAACCTTTTTCTAGGATAGACAATTATAATCAATTTGACAACATATATTTAGTACATTCTTCTTCTTGATGCCAACAATGAATCTACTTAATTAAAAAAATATTTCTAAAAAACAAGTGACCCTTTGAAAAACTAAGAGAACCAGTCACCACATACATAGTAGAACCCACATACAATATGCCCAAAGCCTTACCCAAGAATCCAATTTCATATAGTGGACAATTATTGTTGAACAGATGGAGTGACATATATCTTCTTTCTTTGGTTTTGCAAGCCCGGTAGCTAGTCTCACGTAACTTTATTTTATGGTCAATGCTGTTATTGTGAGTCTTGGGCCATAGAATTGGTATTTGAGTGATGAATTAATAGATTGATTGTGGATGTAGAATATTATTGTTCTCTGTGTCATGGATTATAAAAAAACAGAAGTAATGAATGTCCAAAGACATTTTTGTCTGTAACGTTATGCAATATATATTTATGTGTTCAAGGAATCCTAAATATTGTTGGAGAAGAGGATATTTAACAAAAACATTATGTGTTGGTATAAAGAATGTTAACGAACTTATTTTACTTAGAAATCAATGTCTTGCTCCACAATTCAATAAATAGACTTATCCACATCCTCACGGACAGACTTACTTGTATACATCATTCCAGTAATCAAATATAAAAAGTTGATCTAATACATGTTTTAGATTTACATGGCAATAGTGATCAAGAAAAGTAGCAAGGTAAAACATCTCTACAAAAGCTCATTTAACTTACTTAATTGATACTGTGTTTTATTCTAAACCTCCTTTATGTCCTGCTGAACTTTTTCACGCACTATTTCAAGCATTCTTACAAACCTTTCCACCTGTTTGGCCTCTTGTAAGCGCTTTTCAGCCTTTTCGAGATGTTCCTCTTTAGCGAAGACCTTCCTATTCCTTTCTAATATGTCCTTTTCAGCTTCTATAGATACTACCATGATAGTCTTTCTCAACTTCGTCAGATCCGTTAACTTCCTCTCCATATCTCCCTCCTTTGAAATCTCATCTAGATACTGCTGTAGTGAAGTTACATCAAGCTTGACCTTTGCTGCAGCAGAAACTAAAATTCTCATATCGTTGATGGAAGTAAAGCCAACATCACCAGTTTTCAGCCTCCTTACAACATCACAAACTATATCACAAAGGAAAGCTCTGAAATCTAGTGATTTATAGTGACAATTGACTGCTGCAATGTCACCATATATTAGTAGGAAACATGCTTGTTGCAACACAAGAATAATTATTGTCATAGACTCAAAGAGTGTTGCAATTGAGTTATGGAAACAGAAATTGGCGTGTTACATATAAGGCCATTGCAATATATCTATAGTAACGGTTTACTTTCAACAGTTGAAAGTCTATGCAACAGAACATCTATAACAACAATTATTCTTTAGTCTAGAACGACACTTTTCTTCATATATTGAAATAGTTGCCAAACCGATTCCAAAGAGTTTATAGAGATAGTGATAAACCGTTGCCACACATTGTCTGCAGCAGCAATTATTTTTTAGTTTAGGACGACACTTTTCTGTGGTTGTTGCAACAGTTGCGACTGTTGCAAAAGGTTTTATAACAACAATTGTGAACTGTTGCAACACACTATCTATAGCAACAATTATTTTTTAGTCTAGGACGATACTTTTCTAATGTTCTTGCAACAGTTGCACATCAATGCAAACGACCTACCACAACAACTTTATTATACAACTCAACCTAAGCTATTACAACGGTTTTTCTTAACTATTGCAACAATGTTTAAGATATTGCAATAGACCTTTTTTAATGGTTATTACAGGCTATTGTAGCCATTTTTGAAATAAACAATAATACAACGATAGAACATATTAAACCAATATGTGCATCAAGTTGTAGCATTCATATATAATAGATAAAAAAAATATGATCTTGATTTACAATTCAAGAGTTAACATACATTGATGTTCACAAAAATTAAGCCTAAATATAAAAATAGTCCTTGAATGTTTAAGAGTTTACATTCATTCAACTTCACAAAATTAGGACAAAAAGTAAAAAGACTGCTAGAATGTTCAAGAGTTGGACTCATTTAAGTTCACAAAATTATTCCAAAAAGTAAAATAGTTCTAGAATATTTGTAGAAACCAATTCTTTTTAAGTAAGCTCTTCGCTGCTTTCATCCCCGCTTTGCTCATCATTTTGTTCACCTACAATTTCAAAAGGGTAAACAATTAGGAAAGAGGATTTTCAAAAATGAAAAGTGAAATGAAGACACACAATTCCTAATTTTTTCTATTTCCGTCCATGATGAAAATAACTCCCAGGAAACCAAGACTTTAACATAGAGGTAGAAGCTCTGACTGTTCATTTGAAGGAGCCAAACATATCAGGAAATAACTCATAAAATATAGCTATAAATGTGTACCGGATGAAAACAATTTAGGGGCCACTAAACATCATACAAGAATTAGCAATGGTGAAGAAGCTGATCGGGAACAACTAAGTTAGAAATCAATTAGCTAACTACATTACAAGCGTTGCCCTTGAACAAGACAACTCAATCCACAACCACATTTTTCAAACTCTCCCCACCAAAGGATGGAAGACATTGAATTCCAATAAATCACAAATTACAATACTTAGAATCAGAACTAGAAAGTTTGCACAATCACAAACATGATATTTGTTTATCAAAATATAACAGTTAAACACAATAGACAAAGCAACAAATAGGGGATACATCAAGAGTAAATACAACAAGAACATATACATCAGAAACAAATGATGAATCACAAAGGCAAAATGTTGATCTCAGTTATTAAAAACCAACAACACCTAAACTATGCAAACAGCAGTAACACTAATCTCGATAATATAAACTTCGATATAAATGAAAGGATCACCGCAGTTGCACTAGAAATAATACAGAAGATTGCAGATGTAGTAGCACAAGAAAAAGAAGTAGAAGCAGATTAACATAACAATCCATAGATGAAGATGAACCAAACAAGAAACTGCAAAAGCAGTAGTAGAAGAAAATGAAGAAGAAGGAGGGAGATTCTGACCTTGATTTTTGCTACAGGTAGATGAACGATGGACTGATCAAATATTTATTTTCTGTTGACGAAACATCAAGTAATGTTGCTATAACATAAGCATCAATTGGTAGGCCTGAAAGCTGAAGTTTTTTTATGACATCATCTACAATTTCTTATTGCATCATGATCTTTTGTTGGTCATATTGTTCTTTCTATTCCTCAATTTTTTCCTCCATTTTCATCATTCTCTCTTCCATTTTTTTCATTAGGTCATTTGTTGCATTTGAGAGGTCTTCAAAATTCCCACTTTCTCTTTCAAAGTAGTTTTTGTAACCCCTCTTCCATATAATCTCAAACGTCCTGGATGTTCTGATCCCATGAAAGAAGAAATTGCATCAATCATCTCTTTTCCGTCTTCTTTTTGTTGCATTTCAATATTCTCCATCTCAGCCTATAATGCAGTTTTATTATTAAAAAAAACACAAAATTCAAGTACACACATAAAGAGTAAGTATGAAAAAACAAATTCAAATCAAACAAAAGAAAAATTAAAGAAAGATCTCACAATTTTACTAGTTGTATTTTCATATGTATCCTTGTATGATCGGTTGGGCTTTCTTCTCTTTGTAACCATAAAAAATTCCTTACTTGATGGAGTATCACTAGTTTCCCTCTGTTTTTCCTGTAGACATTAAAAGTCGATATCAAACATCATCTTTATAATGTGACATGTTTTTATTCAATGCCAAGCAAAAGCTCATAACAAATCATTGTGAACAAAAACAAAGCTTTTCTTGCCAAAAATATGTGGTTTTTTCAACTTTATTACGTTTCTCACTATTTGTTTTTGACATTTTCTGCAAATAGAAGAGAAGTTCCACAATGATCAAGTGATTTTTATAGAAGAGGGAATCTTCTTTCCAATGATTGATAAAAAAAAGCTCAGTGGCTCCCAAAAAGAAGAGACAGAACGTACACTAGCAGTGATCAGTTACAGAAGAAAAGAGCTCTATATATAACTTAAAATATTTTGGGAATGAAAAGAAAAAATAACCACCAAATCAGCTAATGAAAATATTCTCTTACTAAACGAGAAGTAACTAAATCCATAAGGAGTAAAATTCAACCAAGAACCATGTATTAGAAGTTGTTCTCGGATCCAACAAGAACACAAGGGAAAATGATAATGTAAAATCGAACTTAACATTATTGAACCATTGCAACTAGTAACATTACCTGAATTTTTCTGAGTTCCAATATTTAAGAAGTTCCTTAAATTGGGTTGTTGGAACATCATTAAGCTTGTTTTCTATCCGAATTTGATCATTAGCGTAGGCATCAAAGTGGTGTGTTTTCAAATAAAACTTACGCCTTCTCCAAGCTTGTTGATCTATTTAAAGTCTATCTTACACCAATTTCAGGAATGACATATTTCTCCTAAAAATTTGAACATTGAGTTAGTGAAATAAATTTTAAATATATTTAACTTAATAGAGAATTGAATACTTCAAACCTTGGTATAATCCCACAAATAATCTTTTGTGGCCATCAGCTTCAAAATTTTCTATATCAAGAGGACAAAGGGTCGCATTCCTAGAAAGTGTACCCAGGAAGATCCTCAACTCTATCATGACATCATTACTAGGACCAACTGGCTGACAAACTTTATTCAGTATAATTAGTTCACGATCATGCCTTCCATGTATAGATAACATCTCTGTTTGACCTCTTTGTCTTTTTTATTGGAGGACTCTACAATAATACACAAATAAATATATCCCTTTCAAAGTAGTATTGCAATTTTATTTTATAATAAGAAAAGAAAAGAAATATTATAAATAAAATATTGATGTTCTTGTCTTGTTCTTCACATTGTTCGTTTTCTTCAACAGTTGTAGAATTCTATTGATGTTGTTCTTCTACTAGTTGAACTACATTGTTAGTTGCATCAGCTTGTATAAGATGTCATGTCTCTGGACTGTGTGATTCTATAAAATCTTTTTCTTCAATTACATTTGTTACACGTTGATGCTTTTCGACGATTAGATCTTGTTTTTTTCTAGATAGCAACAACTTGTTTTGATTCGCCATAGATGTGAGTGTTCCAGCTGGAATAGTTTCACTTGCTTCTTTATTCCTTATTCTTGAAGACACTCGTTGTTTCATGACTACCAAGTAATGCCTACTGTAAAAAAAGAGATATATAGATAAGAAGTTATATATCTCAATAAATCAAGAATATATAGAAGAATCAGCGAGAAGAAGATTACAGTAGCAGTAAAATGAACTAGTAAAAATAAGAAACGGTGAAGCAGAAATCAGAACCACCACTTCTTGCAACCTGATTCACATATGATATCTAAAGCAAAATCAATCAGCTCATTCCAGCAAAAGAAGAACTAAAGCAATCTCTAATAATAGTTAGAAAACCCAAAAAGATAGAAGTACACAATAAGAATAAAATAGGCAAAATCAACATTCATTCAGTTGGCTTCCAAAACAATAGTACAAACAAGAATATTCAATAGAGATATATTAAAAGAAGTTTAAAAGTTCCTTCGTCAATCATCAGCCACTTATCCACCATTACGTCCCAATTAACATCATCAAAGTCCTCATCTTCTTCTGATGTGTCCATGTGATCTTCTTCCATGTATTCTGAATGTTGATCATGAATTGGCATACAATGACATCACCAAGTACATCTTCTCTCGACCATCTAGGATCAACATCAACATAAAATATTCCATTCGATGTTCCAATGTCATTTTCTGGCTCCCCAAAAAATATGTCTCCAATATTGGGGCAATTATGATATTCTTCTAAACCAAATAAATCAACATTGACTTTATTCCTTGCATAATAAACATATTTCTCAATTGGATCCTCCATAGAAAACTTGATGCACTTGAGATGCTAGTACAAATGGATCTTCAATACTGCATAACTTATTAAAGTATACCCGAGTTAATCCATATTCATCGACTTCATTACGAAACCAATCAAATTTAAACAACACAACATTAAAAAATCCCCAATAATCAATCTCTGAGATACCCTGAATAAGTCCATAATAGAAAACCTCTCCATCAATGCGGTTTTGGTCTTTAGCACTAGAAAAAATATCAATCGTTGCTGATAAAGTCACTCCATAGTTCTGAGTCTTACCTTGACTATCTCGTTTCAATGTATGAAATTGATATCCATTCATGAAATATGATGTATACATTTTTGCCGTAGTATTAGGCCCATTAGAAAGTTGTCGTAAATGTTCAGGCACTTCAACAGATTTAACTTTTTTCTTAAACCAGTTGTCAAATTCCTGACTATGATTCTGTGCTTTAATCCAAGCATTTGATCTACTATGATTGTCAATTACTGTCTTATTGATCTACTATGATTGGCAATTACAGTCTTATGTTCCCTACAAGCAAGCATAATTTAAATTAGCATGTTTCAAAGTTCTTATCATATAAAATTTTTGAAGTTTATAATAAAAGTGACAGATCTTACATGATAAAGATCTCCATTTTTTTCATCTCCGGCATTAAACAATACATATCGATGTATATGAAGGCATAACTGGAGATCCATGTGAAAATTATTGCCTTTGATTTTTTTCTCCCTTCGAATGGAATGGAAAAATTTAGGGAATATTGGTGACAAATTATCTACCTTTGTTTTAGTTCCCTACTCATCCTCTAATTGGTATCGACTGAATTTTGTTTTCACCCCAGCATGTAGGTATCTAGAACATAAATTCATGCACTCTAGTGCCACGAACCCCTCTAGTATAGATGCTTCTAGATGAAATTGATTATGAACAAGCCCCTTGAATAAACATAGGTTTCTTTCAATGGAATACATCCAATGAAGATGTGTCGGACCCCCAAGCATAACTTCATTTACTAAATGGATGGGAAGATGTACCATTATATCCAAAAAAGATGGAGGGAAAGTCTTTCAAGGTCATGTATAATCACATTGATTTCAGACTGCTTTTTATCAAGATATGCTCTTCTTATAACCTTGCCAATTATAACTCCAAAGAAGCTCCCCAACCGAATCTAGGCTATAGAAACTTTTTTAGGCAACACCTTTCTAATAACAACTTGGAGCAAGTAATGCATTATGAAATGAGCATCATGGCTCTTGTAACCTAATATTTAATCTCATCCACTTCCACACATCTGATATATTTGAAACACAACCTTTTTGTAACTTGACATTTGTAAGAATAGTGCAAAACAACTTCTTCTTTTCTGGTTTCATGGAGAAACAAGCTTTAGCCAAATAAATTTTTCCATTATAATCTTTTACTGTTTGAAGTTCCTTTCGCATCCCTAATTATTGCAAATCATATCGAGAATTAACATGGTCTTTTGACTTTCCAGGTACATCCAACAAAGTCCCCGAGAAAACTATCACGAATATTCTTTTCTATGTGCATTACATCAAGATTGTGCCTCATTTTTTTATGTTCCCAGTATGTCAATTAAAAAAATGGATCTTTTTTTCCATGGACCCTCACTGTCACGACGCTTCAATTTTTGGCCCTTTCCGTTAACATTATTGAATCCACGCAACTCTTCCAATACTACTGTGCTTGAGAAGGGAGTAGTTTCAGACCTTTGATCTTCTTTACCATCAAATGATTTATCATCTCTAGGAAATGGATGATCAAAGGGTAAGAATGCCCGATGACACATGTAAGACATGTTACGACTATGTTTGACATATATTGAAAGCATGTTCCATGATTACAAGTTGGGCAAACATTTTTTCCTTTTGTGCTCCAACCAGAAAGCATTGCGTAGACTGGAAAATCACTTATTTTCCACAAACGCAATTGAAATTTTCGGTTAGAATAAACATTATATGTTTTCATCCTATTTTCCCGCAATTCTTTCAATTATGCAATTAGTGGTTGAAGGTAGACATCAATATCGTTTCCTGGAGATGATAGACCTGCAATTATCATAGATAATATCATATACTTCGGTTTCATGCAAATCCACGGTGATAAATTATAAGTCATTAACATAAGAGGCCATGTGCTATGGGAAATACTTATGGTTTGAAACAGGTTGAAACAATCCCTTGAAAGACCCAATCTAACATTACGAGGATCTCTAGTAAAATCTTCGTGCAAGGAATCAAAATTATTCCAAGCTTCCCCGTCAGCCGCATGCCTTATATTTCCATCTTTGGGTCGTTCATTATCATGTCATTTCATATTTGCAGTTGTTTCAGGACACATGAATATTTTCTGAAGCCAAGGTTTTAAGGGAAGGTACCTTAAAACCGTTGCAGGAATTTTGGTGCTTTCATTAGTCAACGGATCATTAAAAGTCTTCCATCTGGACGAGTCACAAACAGAACAATTATTTTCCTTCCAAAATAAAATGCAACCATTAGGGCATTCATGTATTTTTTCATAATGAAGACCCCAATCTTTCAACACATCTTTTGCGTTGTGAAATTACTCGGGTATATGATCAAATGAAAATGCTTCTCTTAAATGGTCTAGC